CCCCAAAACCCCAAAACCCCAAAACCCCGCAAGTTTTATTTTGCAATTAATTGTTTGAATTCAAAATTGTTATTTAATTTTGTTCACATTCTCCTTGGTATTGTATCAATTAAGGCTTACCACAAAAGCCTGTAGAGAACTTTGAAGCTCTCTGAATCCCATAGGAATGCATTTTCTTAACAAATGAACATCAACATTAGCTATTTTCATATCAGATTGGTTGAATATTGTAAGCTTAATCTAGTCACAAGAATACTTTTCAATTTTATTCAAATTTATTACAGTTCTTCCCTTTATGTCTTTCTCATTTGTACTCACATAAAATTTCTAGTCTTTAATTAAAATAATTCAAATTACCTCAATATTTGGAAGTTCAGAAGTATACACAAAGAATTAAGAAGTTAACTCCTCTCCTTTTATATCATACATCATCTTTTTTTCAATAAAATATCTTGATGGCATTCCAGGACCGCCAGGAGACTTGTTTCTTTGATAGATGCATAATAAATTGTCACCTTTGGAGTCAATAATTCTTAAATCATTAATCTTATCATCCCATTTAGATCTTTAAATAGGATTATGCAGACTATCTCTGACTTTAGTCAATAGCTCGTCATCAATGAACAAGTTATCATCCCTCCTTTTGCTTAAATCAATCAATATCTCAGATTTTATGAATGGACTAATCTGCTCTCTATCACTCCCTCTCTAATTTTTTAAAAATTTGATTTTATATTGAAGCTTACTTTACTAATCCATACCTTCACAAGCCTATCTGAATAAATCTGTTCCCATTAAAATCTTTGCTTATTATCAAGATTGTATGTATTGAAAAGATCAACCACATAGTCTCTATTCTATCAGAATTATTGAGAATTTTTCGGGAATACTTACTATTTTCATGTACTTTTCATCATCATTCTTATAAATATCTTCTAATTCAATATTTCCAAGATCCATGCTTGATAATGCAGTATCTTTTTAATTCTGAATAACTTAAAGCTCTTATGATTAAATTTCTTATGTCTTTTCTTATACCTTTCTCAACTCAATGAATTCTTGTATCTCTCTGTCCTTGAATTTGTCATAAATTAGATTTTTTAATTGAATATCCTCCTCAAGGGGACTAGAGCAAGGAGGAATCATCTCTCTTTAGCTGTAAAAAAGCTATTAATCTTTTTGGATCGATTCAAATATAGTCTATTGTGTGGAAGTCTCTGAGTATTATCTCCTCAATTTTACTTTTGGTTTTTCTTATGAGTTAATTTGAGAACTCTACGTGGACTTACTTTAGAGATCTAATTTTTTAATGGTCGCAATGGGCTCAGACTGCAGCTTCTCTTAATTTTCAGGATCGTTTGGTTTGCTTGAAATGCATGAATTCTTAATGTCAGAGCAATGACTTAGGGAAGATCCCATTTAAATGAACAATTATACTGTTAATTAAATATCAAATTTAAATTGCAGAACAAAAATCATTTTTGCTTTAATTATTTATTGAATGGCATTAACCCCGGGGTTTTGGGGTTTTGGGG